CCCCTGAAATCCCTTTCGGGACTCTGATTTCATAGGTTCCAAGTGATCAGATGCTGTGGTGAGATAGATTTGCTCATGTTACTTAGAACCACATTCTGGGATGGAACCTTCTTTCCACTGGTTGTCTAAACAGTCCTTTCAGGACCAGGGAGATAGCTCAGTGGCATAAGCGCATGCCTGGCAAGTACAAGGTCTTGAGTTCAATCCCTGGTACTGAAAAAAAGAAAAGAAAGTCCATTCAGTATAGCATGAGATCAAGGAAAAGATTTTTAAAACCTTGGGTCATAACCCAGAAATCAGTATGGTAGGCCTCAAAACGAAAGAAAGAGGAGGAAATGAGGAAGGAAGGGAGGGAAGGAAGGAGGGAGGGAAGGACAAAAGAGGGAAAATAACAGAAAATATCGCTGGGGAATTCTTGTTTCTTAGAACACCTATTTGCATTAGAATACCAAGTCATGCTAAAAATTCTTATTTTACTATGGGCTGCAGTTACGAATCTGAAAAACACTGTCCTGTCTGGCTTGTCTTCCTTTTTTACTGTCATCCATCCATCCATCCATCCATTCATTCCATTTCTACCATCTGGAAAATAAAAAACGGCAGTCTTGGGCTCTTTTTGTCCTAAAATTAAATGAGTTGATCTTGGCGGGCTTCACTGTTTTAGGAAAGTGTCCAGAACAGGGGAACCCGGAGCGGAAGGACACTGTGGCCCTCCTTCTCCGTGACCGTGCACCTGTCTCTCAGATGCTCTTCGGGAATGAGCTAAGTGAAGGCCCTTCCTTCAGGCCTCCCAGGCCCACAACCATAAAATATTTAAAGGAGAAGAGGCCATCAGGGGGAAAGTAAACAGCAGGCTGGGAATGTTCCACAGCACTCAAAGGGCACCTTCTCCCAGAGAGCAGCTAGGGGCAGCTTCAGCCTATCCATGGGGACAGGCCTCCAGGGACCCCCAGGGGACACAGGGACCACGCAAGTTCGGGCACCGTGGTGAGGGCTCCAGAGCACATCAGCCAGCCTAGAGGAAAATGCCCAGGCTGTAGCAAAGGGAGGCTCACGGGCTGAGAGTGACAGCCTGTGGCCCAAGCGCAGCCATACCCGCCTGGCCACTTGTGCACACCCGGAGCCAAGGAGAGGCAGGACTCAGTACCCCTTCCACCTCCAATTCTGGAAAATGAAGTGCGTAAGCATGGCCTAAACCTGGCCCCTGGACTCTTTCTTCCCAGACAGGATGCTCCCAGCAGGAACCTTCAGTTCTTTTTAAAATTGTATTTAGTACAGGATCTACAGGGTCTCACTACACAGATCGGACTCATAGTGATCCTCCTGTTTTCACCCTACCAAGTGCTGGAATTACAGGTGCGCCACCACGCCCAGTCTCAATTACCGGCTCAGTGCGCCCAGGGTGGGGCCGGCACAGTTCAATCCCCAGCCCTTATTCTTTTCCCTCATCAGGCACTTTAGTTGGCTAAGCTATCTGCCCGGCCTCCTTCAGTTCTTGTACAGATAGATCACTGAGTGTTGTGGTGGTCAGCTAACTGGTGGTCAACTTCTTACACCCGGCTGAATTAAACTAGTGCGGTGCTGAGTGTGGGAGGCCCACCCGAGGGCTGGGCCAGCAGCAACAGAACAGGACAAGCCGCTGGAACGCTGTTAGGGATGCTCTTTGGAGAAGCTGTTGGAGCTGTTGGAAGCTGCCAGTGCTCCTGGGCTGTTGTGCTGGAGGACCTCGTCGTGCTGGCTTTCCCGATGGACCGTGGAGAAGCTCGGGTCCTCATCTCGAGCATCGCTTCCTGGCTCCAGAGGGAAGATGGTGCCCTGCTCAGCCTCATGCAGCTTGTCGCATCGGCTTTCCTGATGGCAACTCGGCCTTCCTCATCGCTGGAGGAGCTCGGGACCTCACTGTGGCTGGGGATGGCTGCGGTACTTTTGGGGGCCGTCTGGTGCTGACCTTGAGCGTTGCTTCCTAGCCCCAGTGCAGATCCCTCAGCCTGCTGGCACAGACCTCCTAGCTTCCTCCAAGGACCTTTGGGCCTCTCCAGTACAGATACGTAAAGCGGACCTGCCTGAGACTTTGTTGTGGGCTCCAGGCCTCCAGTTGGTCTGGTAGGAGGTGTTGTTACAAGACCTAGGCCCTCAGCTGGCCTTCTTTAGTGGTTAGTGTGAGTAGATTTCCTGCACTTGTATACATGGTTCTTGGCGACTCATTATAAAATACCACTACAAAATGTGTCCTGTACTGTATCGTCCACCTTGTGAAAGCCCCAACCTGTAACAGGCGTGTAACCCTGCAGTGCGGTGCCTTGTACATAGCAAGCTCTCAATAGAGGCGCCCTGGGCTGGGGAGAGAGCTCAGCTGACTAAGCGCCTGCTTAAGCACAGGGACCAGAGTTCAATCTCGGCACCACATGCCGGGATGGCCCAGACCCTGGCCTTGCTGAGCCAGCCACCGAGACCGGGCGTGGGGGTGCCGCCTGTAATCCCACACTGGGGAGGCTGAGCTGCGTAGTGAGACTCTGTTCCAAATACACACACACATACATACATACATACATACATACATGAAATGGGTGCCGCCTATGCAACAGACCAGAAATGAGCACTGCCACAAACCAGCGTGAGCATCACCACATGACCACTGCCACCCAGGGACAAGTGAGAGTGCCGCAAACATCCTCAGGAGAAGAAAGGAAACTCACATTTTTCAGGGAGGATTCAGCAGTCTGTCTAGTGGCATTTGAAGCTGCAGGAACACTGCCTGGCATCAGCTGTGGGAAGAACAGAGAACGGGTAGGAGCCACCTCCAGGGCTTCTTGGGAAGAGCCAGGAAACATTAATTGAGTATAACCAAACGGGAGGAAGCGTCCTTCTTCCTAACAATAAAGCTGAGGTGGGAAAAAAGATCTATCAAGATAAACACAAGATGGTTTGTTATCGAGTAATCCCTCACACATTATAGTAGTACTGTAAAGATCAAGACGACAGGCTACTTTGGCCTGGGATGTCAGGAAAGACATGATGAGACAGAGAGGAACTGAGGATCTAGAAAGAAAAAAAAGACAGCGCTTCAGGCCGAAGGGAAGCCATGAGAAGAACATGGCTAGGGACACGGTGAGGGGCTAGGACGGGATGTGTAGATCCCTGTCGTGATTTCTACATGCTTATCAACTTGCTGAGGCCAGAACCTCCGCGTTCTCCAAGGCTGGTTTATCTGGACTATGATCCAGCAGGTGGAAAGCATGCAGAAGAAAACTTTCTAAGGCAGCATGGAGCAGTAAGAATGCTCAGGAAGAAGACGTAGGTCCAAGCAGCTCCGCCGTTCTCCAGCCGTACAACTGGTGACAGATCTGGACATCCACTGTACCACGGGGAGAGGAGTGTCTACCCTGCCTGGATCACAAGTCTGGGATAAAGACTGAGCAAGATATCCCAAAGGCTTCTTTTTATACTCCAGAACTCTGTACACAGGTCAATTACTAGCTTCACTGTTACAACGAATGACAAGAAAAAGAGCGTCGACTCTGGACGGCTGCGTGTTTGTCTTCTACCAGCTAGGGATGACGGTGTATCTCATGCAAGACACCAGGCCAGTGAAACACCGCAAATGCGAGTTCTGGGTCCAACCAACCAGTTCCAAAGCCCCATGGGACTTCCTGAGAGCGTCCCAACGTGTCACTGTTAGAAATTTCCTCTTAAACTTCATCCCACAAAAATCACTGCTGGCTTCCTGCTGATGCTCTGAGCAAAGGGATGCCATCCAGCAGACTGGCCGGGTCTGCAAAGCAGACTTGAGCTTATCAGTTTCTCAGAATAGATAGGCCGTTCCCAAGCTCAGTGTGTGTGTCTTCTGTTCTTTGTTTAAGGCTTCCGGGGAGAAAATGGCCCGGATATCCCCTTAACCGCCGCTTCACGTCAGAACTTGACTGTCTGCAGTTTCCGCTGTTCACCGTGTCCTTGTCTCCGGATCTAATCACTGAGAGTTGAGAGACAGGCCTGCTCAGACAGTCCTGGACCACGGAGCTCGCTCGCCTTTGTGTCCATCCTTCTGGAAGAGTCGAGTCGCGCTGGTCAAATCTAACCTCTCTATGCCTGTTTTCCCCTTCAAGCCAGTGTGTCCCCTCTCTAAAATGCAAGCGCAAATGCAGTGCCTTCCCTGCCTGAGGAGGCCACCCGAGGCCGGAGGACCCTGTGGGCATCCTTCCTCTGGGACGGTCTGTGGCACCAGCGTTGGGATTCCCATTCATGCATCCTCCCGCCGCACGGGGAACACGAAGGTGGAGCCCCCTTCAATCCCTCCCCTTTCTACAGCTAGTGTGTACACAGGGAAGCACATTTTTCTATGGCGAACTGTATGCAATAGTGCACAATGCCACATCTTGGGACGCACTCTTTTCTCTCCTCCGGGGCTGGGGACCACGGAAGCCAAGTCCACCCAAGAGAGTCACGAGAGGCCAGGGCCCGTCGGGCGGGAGCGACGCGGCGACTCTGGCTGCCTGGTCCCCACTCGCGGGCGCGGGCCCACATCCGGCGCTGCGCAGCCGTAACACGGCGCGGGCGACTCCAGGCTCCCATGGCGCCGAGGGACTCCGGGGCCGCCGCACTGCCGCCGCCCGCCAGGCAAGGTGGGGGGCGCACCTGGCCGAGCGACCGGGGCTGGGCAGAACCACGGCCGCGGGGGGGGGGGGAGCGGGGAGGCGGCGCCGACCGTCGCAGGGGGAAGCCCCGCTCCGCACCCTCGGAAGCGTCGTACACTCTGGCCACGAGGAGCAGGAGTGTGCCTGCCCTGCGGGTCGCAGCAGGGGACAGTCTCACGAACCAGTCTCCAGGGCCAGCCCAGGGCTGTTTCCCCGGCAAGATGGTCGCGGCGCGGAGGCGTCTCTCCACGCACCAGCACCAGGCTGTGGGCGTGGCTGTCTGGAGGACGGGGCGTGGCTTGTGTGGGCGGAGCCCGACGGGGCGGGGCGGGGCGGGGCGGGGCCAGGTGCTGGGCTGTCTCTGCTTGTCAAAAGGCAGCAGCTCAGTGCGGGCGCCGGGAGCGCAGAGCAGCGTGTTCACCCACCGGACCAGGTGCGGACCCGGGGCAGTGGGCAAGGGGACCAAAGATAGGGATGAGGCCTGGGCAAGGGCGTCCGGGGTCCCAAGGTCTGGCTGCCCGGTGTAAGCAGGAGAGTCTAAGTATTAGAAGCAAACTAGTTGGCTGGATCCGGGCTGTCGCACCATGAGGTTGGGACACGGGAGGCATCGCGGTCTGGGAAAGCTGAAGTTGGCCCTGGGCTGGTGAGGCGGGATCGAGGCACAGGGCTTCCGCTAGCACCGTGCTCCGCTCTTCGGCAGCTAAAGAAGCGTTTGTTTCCTTCCTCGCTCCAGCGCCTCGGCTTGGAGTGGAGAAGTAAGGAAGGGAGCAGTTGGCCGCCCAGGGTGCCAGGTCTCCTGGAGGTGGAGCGAGGGAACCTTGTTTATCATCTGGTAGGAGCTCCGTATGGCCACCTGTGATGGTGGACCACCAGTGCTTTGAAACCTGATTGGCTGTAGTTACCGAATTTATTTTTTCAGGAGTTCTTGTCTATAGGTGTCCAGAGGAAGTCAGGGGCAAGCCTGTAATCGAAGAGGGGGCTTAGGGAATAGTTTCTATGGGAAGCAGGAGAGGTCCCCAGTCCACGGGTGGTAGGCGAGGATTCCCAGGGAGTATCTAAGTGGGAATTGTGTGTGGTCCCAGGGCCAGTGGACAGCTGCACCCCCTCCCATGGACCAGAGGCTGGGACCCAGCCAGTCTGTGCTGGGTGAGCCTTGAATCTCTGAGTCTAGGCCATTCTCCCTCCTCCTCCCCCTCCTCGTCCTCCTTCTCCTCCCCTTTCTCTGTGCGGTGAGTGAGTGAGTCAGCCAGCCTCCTGTCTGGGCTCAGTTACAGCCAGAGGGGCCAAAGCCCAGGCAAGCAGTTGGGCAGGCATTTTCTGAGCATTGCAGAAGTTCTTCTGGGCAGAGTCCTGCTCCGCCGCAGCTCCCCACAGGAAGGCGTTCTTCCTCAGGGCTGAGGCAGGGGCTCAGACCCAGAGTGGCGTCTACGGGGATGACTGGGATAGCCACGGGTGGTTCCAGAAGGAGTGCCTGTGAAGGGATGTGTGGCGGTGTGGTGAGTCCACATCTCTCATCCTTTTTGGACTGGGAGACGCCTCCCAGGGCTGTAGACTCTCCCCATCCCTCGCCTGTTTCCATTTAGTGATCTTGTTCGCTGTCCTTTGCTAGTACAGTGGGCACAGAGAAGAAACTGGAAAGGTTCTGGGGCCAGAAAATGCAGAGAGTGCGCTAACCTGGGCTGGGGAATTGGAGAGCTTTGCTCAGGTGGAGATGCTCGTCCCGAACGTGAACGGAGAGGGCTGCGTGAGGAGGGGCCTTCGCCCATCCCTCCCCCACTCAAGGGCTGAGAGAGTCATGGGTCTTTTTGACATAGCGTCAGGGTGCTGCACCAGATCAGGAGGTGGTGACAGGGGAAGTTCCTCCCTGGGCTTTGCTGCGGCTTCTAGAGCTCCTCAGACAGACGCAAGCGGCCCAGAGCACACAGCCTCTCTAGAGTTGTTGGAGAAGAATCCAGGCAGGCCAGCCAGGCTGTGAGGTGGCTCCAACTGCAAGACTTTGGGGGATCTACAGTTTTCCTGCCTGGGTCCTATGGCTGTGGGTTTGGGGGCTCCTGCACAGCTATGGCCTGGTGCCTGATGAAGAAGGGGCTGGAAAATGAGGTATGAAGGGAGGGCAAGGACGAGCGTGGACAGTGTCCTGACCCCTTGCTCCTCTTCAGCCGTCCCCACTGGGTTTCGTACTCTGGAAGCTGCGGGTGGCGGCAGGGGCTGTCTGTGTGCATGGTTTCCCAGCCTCTTTCTCTTGTTTAGCCTCCAAACTGATCTCTTTTTGGGGCAGGGTTCCAGAGGAAGCTTCCAAGAAGTTTCCCAGGCCCCTACCACTACCTCCAGAACAGACAGCAGGCGTGCAAAGTGCAGCCCTTCAATGGGGAAGGCTCGAGGCTGGGGTCTGAACCAACTCATGACTCGAGAGCAGGGGGCGTTGCACATCCTGGGGAGCTGGCGGCCGGCCATGCTCACCAGGGTCGGCCTCTGGACCTCTGCCTGGAGAGGTCTGGGCCCGCATGGCCAGGAGCACCCTCACAACAGCAAGGTGTGTGGGTGGGTAGGGGTTTCTAGGCAGCAGCTTTCTCTTGGTGCTGCCTCAAGTCCACTGAAATGCAAGCAGAGAGACAAGGACATGGCCGGATGGGTGAAGAGCCTGCTGCATGCCCAGTGTGGTGCCAGGCCCCCAGGAGCGGATCCCAGCAAACCTGGCCTCTGCTCCCAAGGTGCTGCAGCCCCGGAGGGCCACGGTCGCAGCGTGCCCTCCGCCACTGCACGCTGAGAAGACCACACAGGGCTGAGCCCGGCCTGGCTACTGCTCCTCGTCCCACGGGCTCACTTCTCACTGTGCTTCACTCTGATTTCTCTTTAACTTTTCCCTGTGTTGGTCCCCTACTGGATATGCCAGCGTGACCGAGGGATAGATCATTCACATAGATTCCCCTGAGAGCGAGCAGGGAGCCTCTGCATGGCTGTGCCAGAGCAGTGGACATCAACCCAAACTGTCCAGGACTATCTGGAACATTTAATCATCGGAGCAAAGAACGCTTCAAGCCCAGCAGTAGCCAGACATGGTGATGGTTCGCTGGGGCATGGGGGGTTAAGGCGAAGCAGAAAGGCAATAACTTCGTCCTGAGAGTACTCCCAACACTCGGACTGCTTCCTGGGGTCATCAGCCAAGTCCAGTCTTCTCCCTGAGGGGAGCACCTCTCCTAGCCACCTTGTCTGGGGACCCAGCCTACCCTTGTGTGACTTCCCATCACCCTTGACGTGTGACTGGCCTCGTCTTTGATGTTCCTGGCCCACCTCTACCTCAGACTGGGACAGAAAGGCCTGCCAACTCCCCCTCAACCTCCCCCAGGGGAGCTGGGGTTTAGAGCCAAGACTCACAGGCGTGCTTCCTCTTCTCTCCTCTCCCATCAGGCTTCTCTGCATTGTGTCCTGTGGCTTCCCAGACCGCCACCCCTCCCATGGGAAAATCTGGCGTTCGAGTGGGCGAGCACCAGAAGGGGAAAGGTAGTCAAACTGCCTTGGAGACAAAGGTCATAGGTCACTTGTAATCAGGACCTAAGAAAGGCTGGGTGTGGTGGCACACACCTATGATCCCCGCACTCAAGAAGCTGAGGCAGGCAGACTGCAGGGAGACCCTCTCTCAAAAAACAAAAACAACCAAACCAACCAAACAAACAAAACCAACCAACCAAACAAACAAACAAAAAAAAAGATTCAGGAAAATAGCAACTAAAGGGGAGGCCAGAGCCACAGAAAAACTGCTTAGCAAGACGTGGCATCTGCCTCTGGGACTCTGGAGTGCAGCTCTCCAGTGTGGCCTGATGGCTGGGGAAATGGTCCAGGGTGGAGACAGACAGTTCTTGCTCAACCCAGGCTGGCAGCGTTGGTGGCAGCCACAGCATCCTGCGGTGGTGACATGTGGAAGAGAAACCGTGGCCCCCCCATCCTAGGGCCTTGAGGTCCATGAGGTGCTCAGGGAAGCCTCCTCGGAGAGTCCCTAGAGGTCTGGAGTGACTAGGGCGGGGCACGGGGAAGAGGAGTTTCACTGATGATGGTCAGTGACTCTGCTGTCAGGAAGGATGTTCCCATTGAGACCAGTGAAAGAGCAAGTAAAGGCCTCTTGGGAAATCCCAGCTTTCCGCACCTCGCACCTCGTGGGGACAGTGAGGTGGCAAGACTCCCTGGGCAGGCTGCAGATGGGAGGCGTGGCCAGGGGAGAGCGGCGGAGGGAGGGGCGGGGGCAGGAGGTGCTCTGGGAGTCTGAGCGTGTCACGCCTCTGCAAACCTGCCCTGCAGGTCCCGTGCCGAGGAACAGACTAAGCAGTGTTCCCAGACACAGACGCAGCAGAGTCCTCATTCTGCACAGGGCAGAGTCCCGGTCCTGCGTGGGGCGTGGGAGCCGCGCCGGGGGAAGGTGGGGTTTGGGCAGGACGAGCTGCCGGTTCCTGGGAAGCTGCCGCCTCTCGCTGGCCTTCAGATGACTGGAGCTGAGGTTCTGAGATGTTTTGCAAAGTGGTATCCCCGGCACCGGCGCCGGCGCGCCTGGGAGGCTGTGGGGTTGCTGGTGGCCATCCAGTGTGTGCCACCTGCTGGCTCTGGAAGCGTAGCTCCAGGAACAGCGGCTCCCTGAACACTCGCGGGGGTGTCACCTGCACACAGCATGGGCACCGCCTCCTGGGCCTGTCACTACCTTGTGAGACAGGAGCCACTACTCTGTTCACCTTATAAGTGCGGAAACTGAGGCTTGGTGAGGTTAGGCCACACGCAAAGGGGAGACATGGAGGAGGGTCAGGACTTGCGCCCCTTGTGCAGGGTGCTGGATCCATGAGAGCTTTCTTTGCTTTGCGCCCTTTTTTTTCAGCACTGGTTGAACCCAGGGAGCACTGGGCTGCATCCGCAGTTAGTTATTTAATTTAGTCATTTTTGAGACAAGCTCACACTGAGATACCAGGATGGCCTTGGCCTCACAGTCCTCTTGCCCCGGCCTCCCAAGCTCCGTGCTCTTGGAACTCTGCGGAACCCTAGCACCTGTGCACCACAGGGCAGCCACTTAGCGCAGTGTCCTGCGTTATAGGCCTGCAGTAAACACTGTGACCAGCAGGGTTAGAGTCCTGACCAGTTTGAACAAGTTGACCTGAAAGCAGGCTCAGTTTGCCCAAGGGTTACTCGGGGCAGGAGGCGTCTCTGAAGCTCCCTCTGCCAGCACCTGCCAACCTCGTTGGCTCTCTGGCAGTCTTACACATATCATTCAGGTTCTGGACGGCAAAAGATAAGTAAAAGAACTTGAGAGGTGTAACATCGTGCAGAGGGCTTGTGTGGAATCAAGCGAGATCTGGGCAGTCTGGGAGACAAACTAACACTCTTGGTCTCAAGCAGCCCCTTGATTGATGAGATTGATGACGTGCTGTGCGCTGCACATACCCAGGAGAAACGCAG